TACTTCATGATTCAACTTACATGAAGTATCCGAAATAGTCAAACTCAGGGCAGCAGAGAGTAGAATGGTGGTTGCCAGGGGCTGGGGGTGGGGAAGGGGAAGGGGATTGGGGGTTACTGTTCAAGGGGTGTAAAGTCTCAGTCACGCAAGATGAATATGTTCTAGAGATCTCCTGTACAGCATTGTGCCTATAAGTCAACAGTACTGTATTGTACATTTAAAAATTTGGAGAGTCAGTCTCATGTTAAGTGTTCTTAACACAATAAAATAAAAATAAAAATAAGGACGGTGTGGTGGGTTTTCCATAAAGCTAAATTTGTTCTGAATTGGTGCCTTTTCTAGTGTCGGCTGTTTAAAACCTAAAGGTGCTAGGCAATGATTTTTCTTTCTTTTTTTTTTTTAACATCATCACTTAACAAAATAAAAAGTTAAAAATTCTGGGCAGGGGGAGCATCTCCTTTTTTGAAAGGCATAAAGCTTTTGTATCAGAAAAGGTGGACCAAGCAGAATGCAGCATAGCCTGGTGGCCAGGAGAGTGGACTCTGGGGTAGGTGCTCCAGGCTCTGCCTCGCTCCACCCCACCCCGCCTCCACCTCCACCTCTTACAAGCCTTGAAACCTGGGGAAATTGTTCCTGCACTCTGGGAAATGAGAGTAGGACCTCATGGGGCTGCTTTGAGGACGAAATGAGTTTATCCATGTAAGAAACATAAAATGGCCAGACTCTTTAGCACATGACAGCCATGACAGATGTCATGTGACACTGCATACTTTTTTTTAAAATTTTTTATTGTTATGTTAATCACCATATATTACATCATTAGTTTTTGATGCAGTGTTCCATGATTCATTGTTTGTTCATAACACCCAGTGCTCCATGCAGAACGTGCCCTCCTCAATACCCATCACCAGGCTAACCCATCCCCCCACCCCCCTCCCCTCTAGAACCCTCAGTTTGTTTTTCAGAGTCCATCATCTCTCATGGTTCGTCTCCCCCTCTGACATGACACTGCATACTTTTGCTTCTGCTTGAGAAGATAACCTCTCCTGATGGGAAATGGAACTGTAGGGCTTATATCCATTAGTCAAGAGTCCTCCCGCCAGTGTTTTAGTTTCCTATCCTGCCATAACAAATGACCACAAATTTACTGGCTGAAAGTAATACAAATTTATATTATTTTAGACCCCGTAGGTCAGAAGTCTGGTGCTAAATCAAGGTGTCAGCAGGGCTGCACTCCTTTTTGGCAGCTCCAGGGGAGAATCCATTTCCCCCCCTCATTCGGGGGGGCGGGTTTTGACAGAATTCATTTCAGTTCCTTGTGGTTGTAGGGTCAAGGTCTGTTTTGCTGGCTGCCAGCTGAGGGCTGTTCCTAGCTTCTAGAGGCTGCAGCTTTCCTTGGCTCATGGCCCTCTTCCTCCATCTTCAAAGCCAGCCACTGCAAGTTGAGTCCTTTTCATGTCCCATTTCTCTGACCCTGTCTTTAGCCTCCCTCTTTGACTATCGGAACCCATGTAATAATGCAAAATAATCTCCCTGTTGGAAAGTCAGCTGATAAGCAGCCTGAACCTCCCTCCATGCTGCGGAAATTCACCTTTGTCATGTAAAGTAACATAGTCACAGTTTCCACCATTAGGATGCAGACATTTTTGGGGGAGGCCTGATTCTGCTTACCATATCCAGTGAACTGGGATGTCATTGGGGTCTTTAACAGGTCATTTATCCTTACCTTTTATTTCTCCATCAAAAAGGTACATGATCTTCTACCTAGGATAAATAATGTTTATTGAGTGCTTGCTGTGAGCTTGGTCTTGGGTGCTAAACTCTTTGTTCACAGAGTCTGCGGCAGGTTCTATTATTCCCATTTTATAAACGAGGAAACTGCATTTGGGGAAGTTAAGTAATTGATCAAAATAATCAACTGGTGAGGGGCTCAGACATTTCACTGGGCTAGTATACCTCAGAGGTTTGTCTGGAAATGCCTCTTCACATGGTAATGCGTACTAATTGGAAGTAAATGTTTGGACTAAAACAGTGTTTTGATTTTGCTAATAGAAATTATCATTCATGTTCATGGCTGTGGTAAGAAAATAAATTTTCTTCTATAGCCTAGCCAAGTTAACACATAAAACTAACCATCACAGTGCTATTTAGCTTATTCCTCTAACCCTGTATAGTCCAATATGGCAGCCAGCTATTGGGTACTTGAAATATAGCTAGTCTGAATTGAGGCGTGTGCTGTAAGTGTAAATTCACGCAAACTTAGAAGACACGATACAAATAAAAAGAAGGTAAACTGTCATTATTGTTATACTGATCGTATGTTGAAATAATAGTATTTTAGATATGTTGGGTTAAATAAAATGTATTAATTACTTTAAAAAACAATGAAACCAGGGCACCTGGGTGATTCAGTTGGTTGAGCTCCTGACTCTTGATTTCGGCTCAGGTCATGGTCTCAGGGTCCTGGGATCAAGCCCTGTGTCAGGCTCCATGCTCAGCAGGGAGTCTGCTTGAGATTCTCTTCCTCTCTCTCTGCCCCTCCCCCTGCTCACACGCACTGTCTCTCTAAAATAAATAAATAAATCTGAGAGCGGGCACCCCACCCAGACACCCCTAAATAAATAAATCTTAAAAAAAAAAAAGCAATGAAACCTGATAGGTATCAAAATTAAATTATAAGGAGAATCAGTTATAAAATATTTCAAATACAACTGTCTGAAAAATGCAAAAAAAAGTTAATTTCTGGCTTGTACTAAATCACAATATTTTGAAGTCAGAGAATGTTTTTTTTTCTGAGATCATGGCAGTTTCTGCCAAGAGAAATCTGATTTGTAATAGGGTGGATGGGTTCAATATTTCCTTAGTGAGGTATTTGACTGTCATGTTTTGTTATACTATAACTGATACGTAACCAAACAAGAAAAATTTCCTAGCAACAGAGTTGTTTTCCTCAACCAGAAGAATATTTTATGTGCTCATTTTCTGAATGTCCGAAAGATAAAAAAGCTTATGAATTTAGCATCTTATATTTTGGGGATTGAAATGCTGGTGAGTATAGATAATAAAATATATAAGAATATCAGTAGAAGTACTTGGCAAACATTACATTAAGGTAATTCACACCTAAAATATATTTAACGAGGTAGAGAACTATATGGTTTTTATGATAGACCCAATTGTCAGACATGGTTATCTCACTTATCTTCATAAATGAAATCTCTTTTTTTTAAATCTCTTTTGTTCTTCATTAATTACATACCCAAACTTTTTTTTTTTACCCTCATCAGATCTCTAGGTTCTGAATAAACATTTCATTGTTTCTTCAACAAATGTTTAAATACCATGTGCTAGGATGTCCCTAGGGATATTGTGCCCTCACGAAGCTTATGTATTAGTAAATGATTCGGCTTACATATTAGTAAATGAATGGAAGAATTATACAAATCGGGAAGGACATGGGTGCTGTGAATGTGAACAGAAGGTTCTCATCTAAATCAAAGGACACGTGACGGGAAAGCCTTGATCTAGAGGATGAATAGCATTTAGTCAGGCAGAAAGTGGGATTGACCAGTCTTAGGTCAAGGGATACATTTTGCAAGTTCTAATCCTAGGAAGGAGCTTGGCAGGTTGGAAAAGCAACAGCAACAGCAAGAAGGCCTCTGGGTGTGTGTGTGTGTGTGATTGTGGCTCTCAAGGAATACAGTAAGGCACACGGTACTGAGTCCCATAGAGCTCTGTTCAGAGCAACAAGTAGACATGGGTGTTATATGATGATCCACCAAGCGTGTGTGTGTGTGTGTGTGTGTGTGTGTGTGTGTGTGTGTGTGTGTGATTGTGGCTCTCAAGGAATACAGTAAGGCACACGGTACTGAGTCCCGTAGAGCTCTGTTCAGAGCAACAAGTAGACATGGGTGTTATATGATGATCCACCAAGCAATACATAGGGCCTTGTTCCCCAGAACTTCATCATCAAGTGGATGTGGTCTGGAGATAGGGTAACCATATAATTTATCATCCAAGTCAGGATATGCTTGAGAGTGAAAGGAGGTGCTGTTAATTATGCTGGGACAGTGGGTATAAACCAGTATAACTTGGGCACGCCAGGATGTATGATCACCATGCTTACAGACCAGTTTTCAGCCACTCCAGTAAGCCTGGAGTTGCCTAGAAACCATGCTCTGAAATTACAGGGTTAGTATGTGTTCCTGCTTTCTCACTTTCCCCCCTCCTTCACCCATGGATAACTCTTGGAGAAGGCCGCCAGGGGAACCTGCACCAAGTCTAGACCACGGAATCCCAGCCCCATTGCCCGCTCACCTACAGCCTACTGTTTTCGGGTTGCCATCTCATGAGAGTTCACCCCCTTGATGGACATCAATTCTTATTAACATGTTTTCAGAATTACAGTATTGAAAACATACAGGAAGGAAAGTAAAGCCTTAAACATTTAGCTCATGAACTTTTCCTACTAGAAACTTTCCTACATCACTTCTGGTAGATGAAATGACCTAATTATACGTTCCCAGATGGTGGCCAGGCAGAATGGGTGTGGTCCAATTATAACCTCTTTCACAGTAAACATGTTTTGTGATTTGGCCCCTATGGTGGATGATACACAGAGAAGAACAGCTTTATCCTTTATTTTTATTTTTTTTTAATTCTTTAGCAGTGGCAGCAGCATAAAGTAGTAAAGAAATCTTTTCACTCTTGGATTTTTTTATAGAATCAGCTGTTTGGCTGAATCTCTGTGGTAAGGATTAATGGAGCTTTAGTTCCTGCTCTTCTCTGTGCCAAAGTCACTGTCTACAGCAGGGCCCTCAGGGAGCCCTCGTAATTCCTTCAGTTAACTGAGAAATGGGTCAGGTTGCATTATAAGAATATTTAATGTTGTATTCAGCCAAATACTGAAGATGGGCACGCTGAGACATTCCAGTCTTTCTTTAGAAGTTTCACTATTTCTTTTTAAACTGTATTAATATTCTTTATTTTTGTTTTATAAGCCAGGAAATGTGAAGAATTCACCTGGAAATAAATAGAATGCTCCATGCTCTGCCCATTTTAATCAGGTAAAGAACAAGAGAATTCTATAATCATTTTTAGCCTTGTTAACACCAGCTGAAATGACTTGTCCTTAATTAACTTAATTAATTATAGCAGTTTCAGCTTCATGTAGATACATAAGGGCCGGTATGATGTTTCATTCCATCTTTAATTTGTGGACTTGAGTGCCTTCACTTGTTTAATTGTGTTCATTCCTGAGAAGTACCTGGGTTTTTTAGGCAAGCTAGAACTTGGCAGTTGGGATTTGTCTAGAAAACTATTTCAAACAGTTGAAAAGTGCCATTATTTCTTAGGTTTGTGTTTTTTTTCAAATAAGACTTTACTATAGTAGGCACCCTTGTATTCATCTGATAGTCATTAAATAAACATTTGTTGAATGAGTGATGGTTGTAGAGAAGCTCAAGATTATATAGAAATATTATTATAAGTACCATAGGGAATTCATAGGTGTAATTATTCTTTCTTTAAAGATGAGTAACCTGAGGCTAGAGAAATTTAGGATACCAGATGAAGTCAGAAAATCAGTGTGATTTCTTCTGCTCTTATACTCAATTCACTGTCTTCATTCATTTGTTCAATATTTACTCATGAATACCAGCTAAGTATAAAACAGTAGTTATATTAATGTTCATTTGTATATATATGAAAAATTATATAATAGCACTTGTGATTTCCTGATAAGATTATAACGAGTTTGGAAACAAATATTTAGCTACAAAAAGTGGCTTAATTCTGGTATATCCATGAAGAGGAATGTTATTATGTTTCAGTAATATTTAATTGCATGGAAACTTGTTAAATGAAAAATAAAGATAGTATGGTACATTTTTAGAGATGATAAAGACCAGGAAATACAACAAAAAATTTAAGTATGTATCTTAATTATGGATGTTTTTATAGTTTTTCTTCTATTATAACTTTCTATATTTTAAAATATTTTGCAGTGAATATGAATTTTCTTTTATAGTCTTTTTTTTAAATCACAGCTACACTTATTGTAAATCATAGCTGCTATTTACAATCCATGAAAGCCCTCAGTGTGAGGTTTTTCTTTCTCAAGCTGTCTCCATATTTTTAGAGATGCAGAGAGTCATATAGTCTTAGAATTTGAGAGGGGTCCTCTGGCCCCCCAGCCAGCCTCAAGCATAAATACCCTGTAGCTCTGTGTGTTCTCACTTTTCCTCCTCACTGATAGGCACCTTACCCCATAGGGCAGCCATCTTTGGATGGTTCTGATTTTTAGGAAGCTGTTTCTTATACTAAGCAAAAATATGTCTTTTTGTAACTCCTATGCATTGGTTCTGATCTTGCCTTAGGGGTCACAGAAAACAAACCCAGATCCTCTTTCACATCTCAGCCCTTTATATGGTAACCCCCAGTGGTACTTCTCAAATTTTATTATACAAACAAATTACCACAGGAGCTTGTTAAAAGACAGAGGCCTAAGCCCCACCCCAGAATCAGCATCTCTGGAGAGCCGGGCCAGATGTGTACTGGATGGATCTGCTATTGGAAGAGAGACTAGAACGTGAGCAGCCAGGAAACCACATATGTCCTCCAGAAACTTGACATTGAATATATTATGTTTCTCTGCAGGGACAATGAGACTTGGAATACAGGGAAACAACGTAAATATCTATTTCATCTTTCCAAAATACTCTGGGCCAGAGTTCAGCTTACTGTATATACAACCTTTATTTCATTCTTTACTTTTTTACTTCTCTATTGGAGATGGAGTTTTCAATTATAAAAGTGATACATATTTGTTGTAAAGAAATTTTTTTATGGGTGCCTGGGTGGCTCAGTTGGTTAATCAGCTGACTTTGGCTCAGGTTGTGATGATCTCAGGGTCCTGGGATCCAATCAGGCCCCGCATCGGGCTCCCTGCTCAGTGAGGAGTCTGCTTCTCCCTCTCCCTCTGCCCCTCCCACCACTCGTGCTCTCTCTCAAATAAATAATAAATAAAATCTTTTTAAAAAGAAATTTTTTTAGATAAGTATTTTTAGTTTATCTGGTTCTCTATTCCTTTTCCATGGTTAATTTCTGTTAATAGTTTGACATTACCATTCCAGACATTTTTCTCTGTGTGTAAATGTGTGCATACCTTCTTTTGGTGTTTTGACAGAATGAGCTCATATTCCTTGAATTGTTTTGCAAGTACACTGAAACCTCCATGAGGGAACATATCAATTTTATTATTACACCTAAAGAAATTAACACTAATTGCTTAATATCATTTCGTATTTAGGTAGTATGCAGATTTCCCTGATTGTCTTTTTGCATTGGTTTATTTGAATCAGGAACCAAACAGGATCTGCCCATTACATTTGACTGATAGGTCCCTGAAGTCCCTTTTAAACTGTAATAGTCCCTTCTCCTTCATTTTTCCCTTGCCATTCATTTTTTGAAAAACAGGCCTATTTATCCTTTAGAAGATCCCACATTCTGGCTGTGGCTGAGTGCATCCATTTAGTGTCATTCTGTTGATCTCTTGGTTCCTCTCTTTTCTCCATTTCCCATAAAATGATAGATAGATCTGAAGGCTCCATCATATTGAGGTTCAGTTTCGGTAAGAATACTTCATAGACAGTGCTGTGTTTAGCTGTGTTGAACGAATGAAATAACTTGCCTTTTTTCACTTAATATATTATGTGCATCTTTTTCTCTTAGTACTTAGAGATCTGTCTCATTCCTCCTCTTAGCTGCTTAATAATTTCCTAGTATGGACTACCATGGCCTATTGAATCCTTATCAAAATAGGTCATTTCCAGTTTGCAGTTTTAACAATGCAGTAAATGTATTGAATTCTTAGAGAAGTCCAAGACAGATTAATAAACTGAAATGGGAAAAGTAAGCTAGAGGTTTACATCTTTAACTTAAGAAGTTTGGTTTTATATTAAAAGATATATTTGTATCTAAAAATATATCTCTCAAATACTTATAACCCTCTAATTGCTAAGTAGATTCATTACATATTGGGAAGAAAGCAATCTGGAGAAGAATCCATTTGTCTTTGGTGTGTCTTTGGATGATGTGTGTTCCATTCCAGAAAAGAATAGTGGGGTGATATGAGGAAAGGTATATGTTAGACCCGACGGTGATATAATCATACTCTCCTTCAGCAGGTGGATGGAAATGTAGTTGTTTGGTTTTTCAGATGGGGAGAGATGTAGTGTTTGCTGTGCTGTTTAAGCATTTATTTTTTATTTATTCATCCATCCATCCATTTAATTATGCTCAGGTACACAGTCAGTTGAGAATCTGAATGTAGTTTGGATGAAACACAAAACCTTTCTGCTTTGTAGTTTAAGTGTCTGTAAAACAGAAATAATTACAGTTTTTTTCTGGTGCATGATGATCCTTATGGTCATAATAGTAATGTAAATATTTGATAGGGTTTCTCAGTTTAACCTTAATGAATTTTCAAAAAGCAAAGTTTTAGAGTTTCTCTTTTTCTCCATGGTAGTTTACTTATGGTTTTCTTTTTCTTTTAGTTATAGGTAAACATTGGAAACTCCATGCAGTAAACCAGTATTTCTACAGAAAAATGGCAGAGAAGCCAGTACTGAATATAGTAAATTGGCTTTCTTCAGGACAAACTATACTAGGCTTCTTTGTTATCTTGGGTGATGCCATACTGCAAGTGGACTAATCGGAAATCCTTTCACCTAGAGATAATGTCTAGCCTTAGAACTCCTCATTCTCAAGTTGCTATTTATGTACATAATTAAAATTCCAAATTAAAAGAAATGTTCTGCTTTTTTTTTAATATTGCTGAGTGACAGTTTAAGCGTATCTGGTGCCCATGTGTGCGGTGTGCATGGTTGTATGGGTTGTATGTGTGGTATGTCTCTCTGAGTGTACGTGTGTGTGTGTGTTGAAACCGGTAACCCCCCTCAGGGCAGTACCAGCTGGAAGTCTGCACAGTGCAAGCCCCACAAGAGTCGAGTCAAGCAGAGTGGCTCTAGAGCTGAGAGATGAGGCTTCACCGGCCAGCCCAAGAACGTACCTTGTAAGTAGTAGCTGGCCTGACAGTGATTAGAAGACATACAGAAGAGAACAGTTAACCGTGACCCCTTGTTGTGTTCCGTTGCCTCCCACCTTCCACAGATCTTCCCCTTCTTGAAGGCCAGTGAAAGATGCATAATGAAGCAGTCTATCCTCGGCTGGTGGAGGAATGGTATGTGGTCATGTGTGTTGGTTCTGTGTGTGTCAGCCTTGTATTCACTTTTGTGGCCCCTGAATGCACAGCTTATTGAACTTTGTATTTGCAGTGCTGATGGGAACAGCAGGAGCCCCTTTTGACATCAGCCAGCGAGGGAGGTTGGCAGGGGAACAGCGTGTGAAAGGGAATTGAGAATTTCCAGATTGCAGTCAGATTGGAAATTAAAAGTCGTCTTTGTATTCTTGTAGTGTCAATTTAATTCCGGATTGTTGACCTTCCACATCTGATGGCATTTGAGAAGATAGCACGGCACAAATGGAACGTGCTCATGTTAACGTTTCAGTACATTTGATAAAGCCAAAATGGCCGAGAATGTTGCCAGCATTATCACCGGTCTAATGAGCTGAAGCAAATTTGTCCCTAGAATAATCCCCGTAGTGACCCAGAAGTCTATTTCCTTTTTTGCCAAAATACTTTCGTGTTACTGTACTAGTCATCCAATTACATTAAAGCTGTGCCCTAAATTTAATATCTCATAAATATACTATTATTATTTCAGGCTTTTCCCATTGGCTTTGCTTCCTTTATCACCCCCAGAAAGTAGAAACTCCACAAGTTTCCTCGTTCCTGAGATTGCTTGATCTAGAGAAGATGAAGAAATGGCTCTTGAGGTCATTAATCAAAAGGTATTTGAGTGCCTCCTAACTGTAACTGATATTACTTCCCATTTTTAACCGTTTAGTTGGTATTGAAACATTGCCTTAAAACCTCTTAAATTCTCCAAGGGGATTGGTGGGGTGGGGGTCACAGAGCCGGCTTGGAGTAGTATGTGGCCTGTATCTAGGACAGCAAGGTCATCACTTTCCAACCAGGCTAACTCAGTTGCTCTTTATACTATGATCCTTTTCTTTGGTGATTTGTATCCAGTGCTGCCTGCCTTTTACATTTATCACTTTTTGCTTGCCTTCCATGAACCCTGAACTGTAGGGAATAAAAAATTTGCATATTATAAGGTCTTGCATTTCTCCAGCTCTTTATACTTTTCACAGTGCTAGTTTATATCTTTCCTTTCTTGGCTTATTCCTGGCCTCAGTATGTTTGTACTCTGTTTTTCTGTGTCCTGAGGTAGTACTTTCTACTTATGTTTACACTTTTTATTCTGTGTTTTTATGACCAGTTCCCCTTATGATAAAACTGAGACTCTCAATTCAGATTATCTGTAACTTAATCAGCACAATTCTATTTGAATAACTCTAGAGACTTTGGAGGGAATGTTCTCTTCCGTACAGAGTGATTTAAGGTGCTCTGAAGAGACAAATGTGGTGTGGTCTGTTCTGTGATAATGGGGTAGTTGGAGTCCTAAGAAAGATTGCTTTATCACAAATGAAGATTGTAAAGCAGTTGTTTCAGTGGGGAAAAAGGGACCAGAGATGCTAAAGAATGCCTTCATCAGTCTTATCACCTGTGTTGCCGCTTGGGACAAAATCAAAACAATAGTGGTAGATAGAAGAACCAAGATGAGCTGAGGGACCGCCCATCTTGGCGGTACAGTCGCAGGTACCTGGGCTACTGGGTTAGCAGCTTTTATGGTAAATGTACTGCTGGATCCCAGCCGACAGGTGGCCCCTGTATTGCAAAGTATTTCCCCAAAGGATCAATGACATTGGATTCAAGTGGCCTAAAGGAGATTCAAAATAAGGTAAAATGCTTCTGTTCCCGTATACAGATGAAATAATGTGACTTGTTTGGTTAAATAGCCAGCCAATGACAGTTAAAATTAGGCCATGTAGGGGCGCCTGGGTGGCTCAGTTGTAAAGCGTCTGCCTTCTGCTTAGGTCATGATCGCAGGGTCCTGGGATCGAGCCCTGCATTGGGCTCCCTGCTCCTCGGGAAGCCTGCTTCTCCCTCTCCCACTCCCCCTGCTTGTGTTCCCTCTATCACTGTGTCTCTGTCAAATAAATAAAATCTTTAAAAAAAAATTAGGTCCTGTAGTGAGTATTACTGATTTTTATTCATTTAAAGATCAGAATCCTTGAATTCAGTGAAAAAGAGACAGATTATGTTCTCCTCATTGTTCTATATTAATGAACGCACTTTGCACTCATTTTCTGGGAAAGGTTTGATATGTAGAGAAACACTTTTCATTGTGACCAGCAGTATTCATGTTTATTATATAAGCTGAATGGTGTACAATGAGTGTCAATGTTTTCACTTTTTAATTTAATGCACCCACCCAATCTAATGCAAAAACTTCTGTCAGAGGGACCAGCAATATATTTGTGGGACTAAATTTCTCATCCAAGGCTTAATTTTAATTAAAGGTAAATATTTGAAATAAAAGGAATCTAAACTGGTAAGGAAGAAGTAAAACTCTCTTTGCAGATGACATGATGCTATATATAGAAAACCTTTAAGACTCCACCAAAAAACTACTAGATAAATGAATCAGTTAAGTCTCAGGATACAGAATCAATGTACAGAAACCTGTGGCCTTCCTCTACCCTAAAAATGAAGAAGCAGAAGGTAAAATTAAGAAAATCCCATTTATAGTTGTACCAAAACCAATAAAATATCTAGGAATAAACTGATCAAACAGGTGAAAACTATAAAACACTGATGAAAGAAATCCAAGATGACATAAAGAAATGGAAAGACATTCCATGCTCATGGGTTGGAAGAATTGAGTTGTCTGTACTACCCAAAGCAGTCCACACATTTAATGCAATCCCTATCAAAATACCAACAGCCATTTTTCACAGAACTAGAACAAACAATCCTAAAATTTGTATGGAACCACAAAAGACCTCAAATAGCCAAAGCAATCTTGGAAAAAAACTGTGGAGGTATTATAATTCCAGGTTTCAAGTTATGTTACAAAGGGGTAGTCATTAAAACAGTATGGTACTGGCATAAAAATAGGTACATAGATAAATGGAATAGAACAGAAAACCCAGAAATAAACCCACAATTATATGATCAATTAATCTTCAACAAAGGAGGAATGAATATACAGTGGGAAAAAGTCTCTTCAACAAATGGTGCTGGGAAAACTGGACAGCTACATGCAAAAGAAGGAAACTGGACCACGTTCTTTCACCACACACAAAAATAAACTCAAAATGGATTGAAGACCTAAATGTGAGACCTGAACCCATAAAAATCCTTCAGGAGAGCACAGGCAGTAGTTTCTCATACACGGGCTAGAGCAACATTTTTCTAGATATGTCTCTTAAGGCAAGGGAAATAAAAGCAGAAATAAACTACTGGCACTCCATCAAAATAAAAAGCGTCTGCACAGCGAAGGAAACAGTCAACAAAACTAAAAGGCAACCTACAGAATGGGAGAAGATATTTGCAAATGACATATTTGGTAAAGGGTTAGTGTCCAAAATATATAAAGAACTGATACAGCTCAACACCCAAAAAACATAATTCAACTAAAAAATGGATGGAAGACACAAACAGACATTTTTCCAAAGAAGGCGTCCAGATGGCCAATAGACACATAAAGAGAAGTTCATCGTCACTCATTATCAGGGGAATGCAAATCAAAACCACAATGAGATTTCAGTTCACACCTGTCAGAATGGCTAAAATCAAAAACACAAGAAACAAGTGTTGGCAAGGATGTGGAGAAAAAGGAAACCTCATGCACCAATGCAAACTGGTGCAGCCCCTGTGGAAAACAGTATGGAGGTTCCTCAAAAAAATTAAAATAGAACTACTCATGATCCAGTAATTGCACTCCTGGGTATTTACCTCAAAAATGCAAAAACAGTAATTCAGAGGGATACATACACCCCTATGTTTAGAGCAGCATTATTTACAATAGCCCAACTATGGAAGCAGCAGAAGTGTCCCATCAATTGATAAATGGATAAAGAAGTGATATATATATATATATATACACACACACACGTGTGTGTGTATTTTATGTGTATATACACATAAAATGGAATATTATTCAGCCATAAAAATGAAATCTTGCCATTTGCAACGACATGGATGGAGCTAGAGAGTCTTACGCTAAGCAAAATAAGTCAGTGAAAGACAAATACTATATGATTTCACTCATGTGGAATTTAAGAAACAAACAAAGAAAAAAGACAAACCAGGGAACAGTCTTGACTATAGAGAACAAACTGATGGTTACCAGAGGGGAGGGTGGGGGAATGGGTGAAACAGGAGATGGAAATTAGAGTATACCTACCATGACAGGAAAAAAATGATAAAAGATATAATGGTTTCATTTACCACCAGCTGAAAGGAAGTTGCTTGTGGTTTTGGTTTTCACCCTGTACACCTCCCTGTCTAATGTTTTGTTTCCCTTTTGATAGGTTCACATTTCAGGTCCACAGTTAGCTAGCACATAGTTCTAAAGGTACAATTAGGTCAGACTCTAGACATGACCAAAGTTCAGGCTTATTTATATTTAGGAAATGATAGCCAAAGAAATTTCTGGACGGAGCAAAAGTTTGTTTTCATAAGCCAGTGTTTCACTGTTTCACATTTTGTTCACTTAGCAGTGCTGAGTAAGTGACCTGTATTTCACATTTAAGGGCCTTTGTCTTCTTAATCAATTCTA